GGGAAAACTGGTGGCTTTTAGGAAGGAGAAGAGCCCCCAAAGTGGTTGGTCTTCTGCGATCCCTCAAGTAGAAGGTACCTGCAGGGCTTCAGTGAGGTCTGAGGAGGAATTCATCCTTCTCTCATCCATGGACACAAGAAGAAGCCAGAGCTTCCTTCTTCCTCCCAATGATCCAGAGGAAGCCTGAGGAGCAGGACTTGAGGTGTCCTCAAGCTGGAGCCCAGTAGGGCCGGGCTGCCCCACCAGCAGGTCCATGGAGGAGATGCTGCCCCTCTGTTCTGCTCTCGTTGCGCCCCACTTGGTTGCTCCATCCAGGTCTGGGCTCCTCAACGTAAGAAGGACGTGGAGCAAGTCCAGAGGAGGCCATGAGGAGGAGGAGGAGGTGGAGAACTTCTCCTATGGAGCCAGGCTGAGAACATTGGGGCTCTTGAGCCTGGAGATGAGCAGCTTCCAGGGTCTGAAGGAGGCTCCAAGGGGGCTGGAGATGGAGCTTCAGGAGGGGCTGCAGTGATGGGCCAAGGGATGATGGGTTCCACGTCAACCAAGGGACGTGTAGGTTGGATGTAGGGCAGGAGATCTTCACCAGGAGGGTGGTGGGACACTGGCATGGCTTGAAAGGAGGAGCTGTAGCAGTGTCCAAAGCCAGGGCTTGGAGCAACCTCCTGTAGTGGAAGGAACCTGTGAGGAACTAGAGAAGCTCGAAGGTCCCTTCCAAGCCACCCCATTCCATGGATCTGTAGGAGAACTTTGAAGAACAGATGGAGGGAGGGGGAAGCCCTTGAGATCCTTTGAGGACAACACCAGAACTTGGCTATTTGGGGCTCTGCAGCATCAACCTCTTTGGCTCTTGCTTTAGGAAGCTGCTTTCTCTGGAGGTCACCAGCCCAGGCCCCTTGAAGCTCTGAAGCTGCTGCTGTTCCAGCTCCAAGCAATCCAAGGAAGTCTGAGCCAATGGGCAACCACGGAGCAAAAGGAAGAGGGTGGAAAAGTGAGTCCTTTTCCATAGGGAATTGGGGAATGCTTCGGTTTGGGAAGGCCCTTCAAGCAGGACATGCTTGTGAGCAGGAGATGGTGGCATCTCAGGTACTTCTGGCCCTCCAGAGCTCTCTTCTGCTGCTTTAGCAATAGGTCTCCTGGGGGATAAGTTGTCTTCTGGGAATGGCTTTAACCTGCCAGAGGGGACG